ATCTCCGGATCGTATGGGTATGAAGGAAATAAAACATTCGCTCGCTCTACTAGCCGCTCTCTTCGTCGTTTCTGATAGTCGAGCGGCTGATTCGAGAGACAGAGAGAAAGAAAGAGAGAGAGAGGGAGAATAGAACTTTTGGCATAACTCAGCCTCGTTATCTGACTCGCAAATAAGGCAACGGAAAAGTTCGCGACATCAATCTGGCCCTCTACCGGGAGATTCGAAGTTGAAACAATGCTTAAGTCATCCCTTAACGTATGAGCCCCAAGGGGGTGGCGTGGCTGGTTCACTGTCTGTGGACGGCGAGGCGAACTCCTCTACCGATTCGATCTACCAAGGCCAGGCAGGCACCAACCTCGTCCGCCAATTTCACCCCGTGGCCATTCCTCCGGTTCTACCGGTAGTCCGTTGCGTTGGTCCGGTAGTCCGGTAAAGCTAGATTTACCGGCATAGCCCGCAACGGACAGCAAAGTCGACTACAAGAACGGGGCAAACTTTGATCACCCCTGAGCATTCGGTTTACCCGCATTGTTTCCACGCGCGCTCTAACCTCATCCTCGTCCCCCTCCCTCTTTCTCTCTGTTGATATTCCATTCGCTGTCCACTGCATCCTAGCATCCCCCTTAATTTTTACGTCCTACTTTAGTCAGCGAAATTCGAACAATTAAACTTCGTCTAAACAGCACCAATGGTTTCGCGCGCACCGACTCGATTCGTACAGTAGATATTGTGTATATAGATATATTTGCCTTTTTTTTTTTATAAATTCGCGCGCGAACGAGAGTCAGTCCACTTGCACAGGTGAATTTGCTTAGATGATTCACCGGAATTCGTTAGAAAGTTAGGATGTTACGGGGTACGATTTTATTAGAGTACCGTCTAGTAGATTTTTTTTTTTTTTGGAGAGATATAAAGTCGCCGATGGAGAACGATGTTTTTTAACTTGCATCTACGTGTTCCGTGGTTCGAGTGTTTTTTTTTTTCTTGTCGATTCTGGATACGAACCGGGAACGTGGAAGCAGACTTTTGAGACTTTTTACTTTTTAGTAACGAGCGAAACGCCGAAGTGTTACTCTACGATAGCGACAATGTTGATAGAAGACGTCCGTATCGTTAAACGAATTTGGCAACGCACCCGCGATACGATCGATACGGTCGGCGTTTACTTCGTTTATCATTTGGTATCGTAAGGTGCTTGTGCATTGATACCGTTTAAATTATTCATCGATGTGAGGATGTTATGGGCGCTCGAGCTTGCCGGCGCCGCGTATCCATTGTGGTTATGGGTTGTCTCTCCGTTCACCTGCATCTGCGGTGATATGGTCTGAAATACAGAAGGATCCTCGAGTTATAACGTGCGTAAATATTCATATGCTTGCTGTGTGGCTATAGGACCACCGCTCGGAAATTTAACCCTTTCGCTACGGTCATCTCTGCCGAAGAACAATCACATAGTAAAAATATGTGTAAAAATGAATTCTTTTCGACTTGATTCATGTAACTGATTTAGAGTCACCGAGTTTCTATCGCGATGGTATTCGCAAGCTGCCGGAAAAATGGCGAAAGGTTATCAAAGGTCGTCAAGTTTTGTCGCAAACGACCATAGTCGCGTGTAATCGTCTATAGTGAAAGGGTTAATCGTGTTCGTTACAATACAGTCAAAGTGAAAGCAGCTATAGAAGAAAAATTAATTATATTTAAGAAAATGATAAACTTCACTCTGTTGAATTCGATAGAGAACCTTGAATTTGATTAAAAAAATAGAAATTTCATCGACCTGAATGAAACGAATCAAATTACACCGCACTGTTGTATCCCGCGATTAAACTTACGAGCGATAGTGTATTCAGAAACGTGTTAACGAGTGTTCCTTTTTTCTCTAGTTGGAACAGTTTTAAAGTTCATTCGAATCAGCGGCGTGTCTCGAGGACAGCGAACAGATGGAAAGGAAGTGGAACTGGCATAATTACATTCGCAATCAATCGACCGGGCAACGCCTTAATCTGATTCGTACAATTATTCACGACAGAGACTTAAAACTCCGTCGAAGAGGGTGGCGTTCGCACAGCGAAAGGGGTTGACGCCGCTAACGAATTCGTTTTAGAACACAAGGTGTTCTTGTTCACGTTCCGCCGCCGCGCCGCGTCTCTACGCTTCTTTACTCCAAAAACAAAAGACCAGAAGAACGAACTTGTATCCTCTCTCGCAGCTCAGCCGGTGCACAACTCAACTTGGGCGTTTCCTCTCTCGCCACTCCTCCTCCTCCTTCTATCTTTTCTCTCTCGATATCCTCTCTTTCGTTCCACGGTTCTTTCTCTTTCTCCACTTGTCTCCACGGTCTTTAACCGTCCTCTCTATCTGCGAGCCATATTCACCGGGAACTGTACAGAGGGTAGAGAAAGAGAAAGAACGCTTGTGGGAGTGGTTGAGGATACCGCGGGGAGCGAGAGATGCCGCTAGGATAGGTAAGTGCCGTTGAAAACTTCAAACTTCGTATCTCTAGCTCCCGTTCCTCCCTTCACCATCAGTTTCTCTTAGTTTCGCCGGCAAAGGTGTTAAATTATACAGGCTTAAAATTCGGCAGACCGTGCGGCACAGCCCTTCCAAAACTCGCGAGATCTTTCTCCTCCCTTACCATGATTTTACTCCGCAACTTGATCATCCTAACTTTCGCGCGATGAACGAACCTGCCATTCTCATGATTTCCCTCCACGCATGTGGGGGGAGAGGTAACTTTCGCGTCGACAAAAGTGGTTGCTGAAAGTGTACGTTGCGAAAGGAAAGAGACTGTTTAATAATTCTTTCGAACGTGATACACTTAGAGGACCCTCTCGTACAAATTTACCCTTTTTTATAATTGGAAAAGTCGCAAGGTGCAGGGCGACGGTGAAAAATTCGCGCGGAGTTGCGGGGGCCAGTAATTAGCCCGTAAATAATTACGATAAAAATGACAAAGCGTCGCTGAAGAAATGCTTTATCACCGAGGTGGAGGGCGGCTTTCTCTCTTCCCCCCTCCGGCAAGAATTTCTAAATCTTCTTGCCGCAAGAAGAGAAACCCCTTTTTAGCTATTCGCGAACAAACGCAGAAGCACGATGGTTCTCCTTCTCGTTCTCTCTCTCTCTCCTCGATACAAACGCCCTTCCGTTTTGTCCCTTTTCCAACCTCGCCGTTTGCTCTTTCCGTTTCTTTCCAACCCCATCCCCCTGTGCAGAAGCCTGCACGTAATTAAGAAATCTCCGTGGAAGGCTCGGGACCGCTGTTGGTCGGTACCACGGGTTAAATTAAGTCTATGACTTATTCAAGTTTTATCTACAATTGCCAGAGGAGGAATTACTGTCCCGTGGATTTACTGCCGTCTTTGTAATCAAACGGCACGCGCTCTGCAAATCGCTCCTGCTGGAACAGGATGCTGTCAAGTAGATAACGGATGAATATCGTTCGAATGTAGATCTTGCCGAGGAAATTTTGCAATTGTCTAACGATCAACTTTTGTGGGAATTTTGATAAGTGTGTGGTAGATTTAGAAGAACAATAAAGAGCCCTTACGAGGATAAAAGAAAGCGAGAAGACAGCGTTGGCTGTGACGGTTAACCCTTTGCATTACGATTTTTCTTCATTTACTGTATTAATACTGCGGCAGGTAAGAACAGCTAGAATTAAAATTAACCTTTGTTAGAAATTTAATTATTTTCGTCTCATCTTGACCATAACCTATGACATAAACCCAACAAATAAAGCTTCCTAAAATACAGATCCTATTCTCGACCTAACATTTAGCTTCTATAATCCCAAAGGACTCAACGCCAACTTCAATAAATCCAATGGACCAAACGCCCCATTTCCATAAGTCCAACAGACCTAACGCCTTATGTACCAACTTCCACGAGTCTTACGAACCCGACACCTCGTTAATATTCCTTTTACCTCACGTCGCGCGTTTTTGATTACACACCTTCACGTAATTCCCCTCCAAATCGATCCGCAATCCCTTTTTTCTCCGCGTAGCGTAGCTAGACTGCGTCAGCGTAAACGGATCTTTACGCCTCGGCCAGGAATAAGACATTAATCGCGACTCGACGAGAAGGTGAGGGCAGTTTGTAACTGACGGTAAATGCGGAGAATCGGGGGGTTCCCGGGGTGCGAGGAGAATCGCGTGTCATTTGTCCGTTGATCTCCTGCGGCTGGGAACCGGCCAGGTGCGAGCTAGTTCCTCCACGGTGCCGCTTTTCTTAAGCGCAAAAATTAGCGCCACCCTCTCCACAACCATTCGCCGCACCCGAACCTCGATTCTTGCCCTGGCTATCCGCTACCCCGGCCACGAGATGAGAATTAGCCACGTCGTTTATCGAAGGAGAGGATCATTTAGAACCTGAATGCGCCCCCCGTGAACCTCGCTATTTTACCCGGGGATTATTATATCGGCGAGGATTTCCTTAACGTGCTTCATCATTTCGGTTTTCCAGGAGTTCTTCTGTTACACCCGTGAAATACGGACCCACGATTAATGATTCTTAATGAACACGAACCTCGCTGGTTACCGTTGTCTCGCCGAGACACATCGAAATAGTTGGAATTGATGTTTAACGACCTGTTCTCGTGGTCGAGAAGAAAATTGTGGAATTTTGGTCGGGCGATTAAACGTGATGTTAACGAGGTTCCCTGTCGTGTACAAGCGGAGTTGCATGGAAGTAAGTCCACGCAGTACGAGTAATAATCGTTATAGCGCGCAACCTGGGCTTTCCCATGCGAGCTTTCCCCGCGTGTATTGTGCAAGGATCTAGGCGGGAGGTTTACGTGAAATTCGGTGAAGTATTCGGTGCATCTAATAATACGCTCATTAACAAAAGCGACGTACGTGCCCGATGATCCGTGCAAGTTTCTTCATCGTTGTGTGTTTTCTGGAAAATCTGTTAGATAGTTCGATATTATTCACGCAGCGGAATCGTAAGTAATGGTTTCATCGAGCACATCATGCTTCGGTACACCTGGGTCCAATAAGAATGACGTATACCCAGAAGTTTAATTTAATTCAGGTCGCCTGTGCACGTTCCACGAACTTTCGAGGGTCTAATCGTCTGGAAGAAGTATAGAAGACGTTGTAATACCTTATTCGCCGTACGAATCTCGTACTGCACATTGATCCTCTTAAATTCCCATGTAGTCTCCGTCTTGGCATTAGCATATTATCTTCAGCAACCTCCTTCTCCCCTCCCCTTTCGTTCCCTAGTTCCACCTCCTTCAACCCTCTGATTCGCGGAGGACTTTGCAGACACTTGAGAGTTTGTTTTAAAACTCAGATAATCGTTTCGAACTCCCTCCCCCTATTTCCCTCTCATTCTCTCCTTCTCAGCTTCTTCTCGCGCCCCTATCCCTTTCTCACGCCAGCGTTCCGCACAGTCTCAAGGGGAAAATTAGATCAAAATAAGACTTCTCGCCAATTTTTAAACGCGTTACAGTTGTATCGTTGGAAGGACAGAGAAAGCGAGAGAGAGAGAGAGAGAAAGATTACATCGTTGAAACGAAGTTTGTCGCGGCGCGATAAAAAGACGTCACCCGTCGATCTCGAATCGATTACAAAGTTCGCCTATCGAACGGGGGGCTCTTCCTAAACGCGTTTAAACAGCCGCGTGACACGTTTGATAGATGAGAGAAACCACGGGAGCGTATCTCTTCAGACGGGACACGTTTCCTTTTTCTCTCTCAGGCAGAAGAAAAAACCGTAGAAACGTAGGGATACGAGGATGGTAATTGAATTTATCGAGGGTGATGACCGTCGTATTTTTTCCATTCTTTCCTTCTTTCACCTTCACCCCCCATTACCGGTCTTACCTAGGATCACTTGGCACGCTCGAGTTATTCGTAAACGGCACACGGTCGGGCATTATTTACAAGAGCCGGCGAGAGATCCTCCTTCTCCTCTTTCTCCTCGTTTGGGTGCTACGGCTGAGAAAGATTGGGACAGCTGTCTGTTCTCAGGCAATCAGAAAAACTACCATTCTCCTCTCTCCAGCCGGGGCAACTTCGCCATTCCCATAGCCACGGCTTAAGGAGAGCGCTAGGGCGGCAGCTGCCACCACCGGGATGAGCACCCTCTTCGCGGTTTTTAAGAATCTTAACGCCTCTCCCTTCTTACGCTCTTGATTTTGTCAAGTCGAGATAGCGCCTACCACTTTGCATTTCGTCGCGACGTCTAATTCCAGCAACGAGCCAGGCCTCTTTTCGAGGGTCCGTTCATCCCTTTCCTTCCTAACTCCTGTTGGTCGTCCTTTCCACCCAATCCGTTCCCATGATTTTTTGCACCGTCGAGTGGAACGTACCTCTCGACGATAGATAGTTTATCGATATCGCGATAATGAAATTAGTCGATCAATTGATAACGCGTCTCGAATGCTAGCTTATCTCTCGTAAGTAGTTGTACTCCATCTAAAGATGTGATAAATTTTCAAAATTATTCTTCTTTGTAACAAGTGTGTTTACCAACTTCACGTTGCTTCGCGACAATTTTTAACGTTCACATTTTCCTCACCTCGATGTGCCAAAAATGGTGAATTTTATTTTTATCCTATCATATACAATGCTCTAACTTACGTTCTTTGCCATAATAGAAAGAATAGCGCGATATTGAAAGTGAGAGAAAGTAATTAAAAGAAATTGCATCGATTGGACAATTATTGCGCACGTGTGAAGCGCGAGCATAAAGGGTTAACCAGAGACGCGTATAACGAAGCACCATAGGCCAGCTGCCCCTAAGATCGTCTTTTCCATTCAGATGCTAAACGTCACGGCGGCGTTCATCGAGGAAACAGAACGGTGTAGCCCACGGCTGAACACCTTCGAGTGTTCTCCGTGATCGAAGGTATTCACGCTCCAAGAACGACCGTGTCAAGAGGGATCCATCAGGCTTAGCCTAATAGATGCGCGAACGACATTAGCATGCCGCGGTGATTATTGGCATTAGTCTGCCACTCCGTTATTTCGCGGCATCGGTCATTTATAACCCTCAGCTGTAAACCGTGGCATAGAATCGATACTCTGCTACTCTTGAACCCGTGGCTCTCGATCCTCGACGTGAACGAACCAGGTAACGTACATATGTACACGCGTGAGAAATCGCGAAAACGCACAAGACAAACAACGCGTTTTATCGCCACGTACCGAGCATTACCATTTACGTTCGTGTTCACCACTACAATATCGTCGAACCTTCTAAACGTGATTGCGTGTTAAAAGGGTAAAAATCGTTATGCGATTGCGACACAGCGATTTATGCGTTACAACGTCCCGGGCGATATTTCTTTTCAGTACGCGAGAAACAATCGTCGGTCGAAGGTTCGTGCATTCGCACGTAATTTCTCCTACACGGTTTCTCTTACTTTCTCGAGCGAGGCGGTCACCACCGCCGACTTCTCCGGTTTTCTTTTCTCCAACACGCGGATTCCGCCGCGCACCGCCACTCCCACTTCGCCGGGCGTACGTGCAAACTGATATTAATTGAACTAAACACTCAGGCACGGTGAGAAACGCAACGCTCCTAGCAGCCCTTCCACGCACACGGAAGCCGGTGTTCGCACGCAGCGTTCCCAAGAACATGAACACTTACGTGGTGTAGAAATAGAGTCGCAAGGGTTAGCAACCCCTGAATTACACGCAGCTCGCCCGACAGGACGGTGTAAGGGGAGGAAATTTGCATATTATAAGTAGTACACGCTGCCGAGGCTGATATCATCGGACTTGGGGACCTCGTTATTCTGTGCATGCGTACAATTCGCGCGTGTGCGCCGGCAATCTAGCCACTTCGACCGGTCTTAAAAGTTTGTCCTGAAACTTCCTTAACGATAGTTTTCGCCAATTATGCGAATTGCCCCCCTCGACGAGACTGGGATTAAGACGAGGCCGGAGAAAAATGAAGCAATTGCGGGGGAAATATTGTTGACCTTGAAGGAGCGATTGCTTATAGCCAGTGACTGAGTTTCTAGAGTTAGAGATGGGAGAGAAGAGTGTTTGGATTGAATGCTCGAGATTAGGGTGCATGACCACCTAAGGTTTTCGGCGGACTTGACTGAACGTGTCCTGGAAATTTCTGTGTGGTTTGTCTGGATTGAGGGATGGTAAAATAAAGAAAGAAAGAACGTGTAAGAATATACGGTGTGCAACAGATGTGCTCAATATAGCTATTAATCCGCGTACGACGAATGCTCAGATTACGTTTGGTACAGGAAATACACCTATTTTACGTATTAAATGAAAATAACCCAGAAAAATATAAAATATAATACAAAGTTATACCCAATTCCTTCTTGAAACCCGCGTGCAATAGAAATTTTGCTACGGGTCAAAGCGACCCTGCATTCGTCTCTCGCGACCGCCTAAAACCATTCGCCTTCCGAGGGTTAATTAGAGTCGTGGAGAACTATTCTGTGATATTTTTTTCAAAATCCCACTACTACACCTCGCCATTCGGCGAGTGTTTTTTCAATTTAGACATTCGAGGCATCTTAAGCAGAGTATAATGAAGAGGTAGCCGGTAGTCGATCGGTAAATATTGCACTTGGTAAATTACGGAACGTGACGCAGGCATGCAAGGGGACGTAAACATCCTTGCAAGACGGAGGTCGGATTAAGTAGATCGGATCCTCCTCGGGTCAGACAGGCCGAGGTCCGCCGTACGGCAAGAGCTTAAGATATTGTTTCGAGGCACTGCTGTTGCCTTAAGATAATCAAGAAACCCAAACGGCTTAACGCGACGAGTTCATAATTCCAACTTGTATAGCAACCCTCTGTAGGTCTATATTATACAGCCTTCGAGGATGCTCGACGGCGAACAGATTTCCTTCGTACCCGGTACGAAACATCTTTTCTAACTTCACGCCTTAATCATCGGACGATCTTCTCAAAATACTCTTCCCCCCTTTCCTTCATTCACGAACCACGGTGACACAAGGTTATTCGCAAATTTCCGCCGAGTAATTCCACTTAAGACGCCCGTCGAATCCTTATTCAAAGAGTAGAAATTCTTTCGCACGTTCCACACCCCGTTGAAGAGGACGACGGATCGTTAAGGTATGCGATGAGGCTTGCTTAACAGGCCGGGGCTTAATTAATAAGGACACGCGATATCCGAACTCGTAAGATGCTAGCTGGATGGTAAAGCATAGCTGAAGCCTCGGGGGAGTCCTTTGTTGTCGAGAGGGTCAGGACGAGCGACCTGCCACTTTAACCCACCTTAAGGGGTTACGTCTTGAGGAGTTTTCATCCTTCGAGAACATCCGATGGAACGTAATTTCGAGCAGATTCAAAGCAGCTCCCGGGGTCAACGCCACGCGGGGAAACCGATACGCTTGCATGGTCAGCATACATATTTGCAACGGAAAAGGGATATCGAGCACGTTTATAGCGGTATCGCTGTCAAAGGATGTCAACCTGTGTTCGATGGGATTATGGTGATCGCGCGGGGGATCGAAACGTAATCGATGATTGTAACACGTGACGGTGTTTTTGAAGAGTGTGTCAGATGGTGAGCATGTTAAACAGCGAATTACCTCCGGTTGAAGATGGGTCACTTGTCTCTTGATGTGCGCCAACGTAGCCGTGGGTGGCGGATGTACCGCCATGTTCGCGAAGATCAACCTCTCGCCGTAGTCGTACTCGCAGAGGATTTTGTTCTCGCACAGGAAGAACTTGTCGCCTATGCAGAATCTGTGAACAGGGAGCATTTGAATAATATAGTGGATAAAACGCATGTGGAATTTGAAGGATTTTATATACAGGGTGGTTCACCTAACGCGATCGCTTCAATTACTTTTGTTATTAGCGGACCGATTAAAATTCTTCTTGTTTCAAAGGATTTTCAAAGTGATGATCTCAGATTTTTTCTTCTTTTTTTAAATAAATTTTCATAGTGACGTTCAATTTTTGTATGTACAATCCTATAGTTTCTTTTGTCCATTGGGCAATTTAAAGATCTCTACATTATGAAAATAATAGTGACCTTGATAAGTTATTTAAAAGAATTTCAGGTCATCATCTTGAAGATTCTTAAAGAAACCATATTCTCTATGATAGGAATTATTTAATCGGTTCAGCGATAACGAAACTAATCCAGGTGGTCACGTTAGGCAAACCACCTTGTACACGTTCTATTTTTTCCTTCGAAGAATATTTCCTTAAAGCAGCAAAGTCGTAAAGATTAGTATGACGAGGCTCGAAAATGGCAGAGATTTGAAGAAACTCCGGCCAAGGGTTGTCGGGAGATAGGCGGAGTAGTAAAGCGTGCTAATTCCTTTTAAGACCGTTTTCCGTTCTGCCCCGTCGAGGAAATTGCGAGAAAATAAAAACAAGCTGCGAAAACGCTACCGGTGCCGTAGCTTCCGAGAGAAAGAGAGAGTGTCTTCGAGGTCCTTTAAATGTAAATTTCCACTCGATTCGCAGACGCTACATCGTACCTGGATTACCGCCGAGTCTGCTCTAACTTCCTTCCCTCGCAGACGTTGAATACTAGAATCGAAATCTTTCCCAAACGATATGACCGACGTCGTTCACACGCATTTTCCACAAAAGCAACGATTTTATCGCTCGAACGGAATTCTCCTTATAATCAAAATTCGACTATTTTCTTCGATAACTGTACAAGTATCGCGGTATAACAAATGCGCGTTAAAATTCAACGGAATAAAATCCGCACAGGATTTTCCTAGTGATCCTACTACGCGTTGTACGCGACTATACTACACGCATACACACACAGAGAGATTTGGAAATGGTGGCGAAGTACGAACGTGCTTGGCTTGCGTTATAAGAGAAATAAGGTTGCCGCGAGGGTTATACGCATCGACCAACTGTCGCCGTATAGGAGGGAACTGAGGCGCCACTAAAATCAAAGATTTCGCATTTTTCGTTTTTATTGCCGGCTTAAAAGTCAATTTTTTCTGTAGCCGCGCGGAGAGAAAGGGGGGCGCGCAGGATTCCCGGTGTCCGCATAAAGGACGATACGCCGGAAATGCTAAAGAGCCATGGAAACGAGGATCATAAGGGTGGCTGGCTTCCAACGAGCACAATGGAGATCCGCGAGGGACTCGAAAATCGTTTTGTCAGGATACGCGACGCCTTGAAATTCTTGTCAGGTGCCGTGAACATCGCTCTCTCCGAGTGTTATACGTACTTCGGGATCGACCGCGATATGACGAGCCTGCACCCGCGCGATTTATCTATGAAGAATAAAACGCTGTCGGTCTTATTTTGTTTAATCCCTATCGTAGATGTGTCGCGTGACCGCGTAATGGGTATCTTAGAATGTGGCCGTCGCTTTATGTGTTGACACGTGGAATAGTAATGCATAGTTTTAATATATTTATCCTTAATGCCAAGGAATGGACTTGCAAGGGAACATCCTGAAGCGATAATCACCGATTTTTATGAAACTTTGGTATTTTTTTATATTGGCAATCGTTAACAGTGAAGGGGTGAAAGTCGCCCTGAAAGTTAGAGGTGGTACTATTAAAGGGAACCCTAATCTCAGACATTCTTTCGTACTTTTCACACACTCACTTTGCCTAATTTTCTTAATTTTATCTTCTACCTTCCTTAATCATTCTATTGCCCCTTTTTCCCTTTGCTTCTAACCCTTCTTCCAACGTGCAAGCTTTTTTCCCATCTCGATTCAGCATCCTCCTACCTTTATTACATATTTTGTACATTAATTCACCAGTTTTCGTCCAATATTTATTGTAATTCTTCAAATATTTCCAAATTAATATCTACAGATTGTTCGCGTAAACCTAGTCGGTAGGTGTAAACGTAGGGGGTGTATCTTAGTATCGTAACTCACTGGTGAATAATAAAAGCATTTTTTCGGGGAGGGACAGTACATCCTGTACATACGGGCATTGCGTATTCAACGGATGTGCTGTCCCGTGCTGGGATCCTGTTTGAGTTTTATGTCGGGATTTCTGTCGAGTGGTTTATACCGGCGCTTATGTAAATGCAGACGTGATTTTTTTCACCACCTACCCGACCCACCTGCACGAATATACGGAGCATTTGCGGCATTCGAAACGAACCGGACCAGTTGCCGCAATGGTGAGTACCACGAAACAAAAAAAAAAAAGATGGAATAAAATATGCATGCTTACATTTACTTCGTTTCGAGTTGAACAAAATTCCGAAATTCCGTAAAAAGAACGGTAACGATCTTTAACTTCGTGTTCAGACGAAGAAGCGAAATACTTTCCAATACGAAACGACAGCAGAGGGGGATGATCTAGTGTCATCAAAAATAAATTCAGATAGCATCTGTTCGCGTTCGTAACTGACATCTCGAACAGTGATCATGAAATACTTTCCAATACGAAACGACAGCAGAGGGGGATGATCTAGTATCATCAAAAATAAATTCAGATAGCATCTGTTCGCGTTCGTAACTGACATCTCGAACAGTGATCACCCTTCGATTTTCCATACTTTTAATTCCGCGATTCTGAAACGGCGAGAGAGGAGAAGACAGGGAAACAGACGGAGGATCGCGCGGCGGTGGATACTCGAGGTGGGTTAAGGGAGGGAAGAAAATAGCGAGAGAACCGGAGAGCGATCGGAACATCTAGCATGGACCGCCATAAAAAGCAATGCTCCACCGTAACGGGGTACGATAAGTGCCATGGTGCGAAGTAAAATCGATCCCGGGGGCAGCCTCGAATCGTGCGCCATAAAAAGGGAACATTAGAGCGAGAGGAGTATTGTTGGTCGACAGAGAGAAAGCGAGAAGGAGAGCAACGAGATCATAGCATAATGGTGTTGTGATTTTCCGACTAGATACGCGATATAGATTGCGCATGGGTGCTGCAACGCTTAAACGCTTCGGGCATTAGTGACGTTAAACGGTGCCTAAACGTTCGCGGCAATGTCGTTTCGCGGTGTATTCGTAAAAAATTTCCAGTCTGCCGAGTCTCTATCTCGTGGTATTAGGTCGTCTAATACGTTTATGCTCTTCGCGATGGGTTTCGTATTTCGAGTTACTTTCGAGGAATGAAACCGTTCATTCAGATACGTATTATAGTTGTAGTTAGAAATTTTAAGGGAAGCAACAGCAGTGAAACTTCTAGAACTCTTAAATCGAAACAAAGTAATTTTTAACCACGATAATGCCAGACAGTATGTGGCACAAAATTTCTCAAAAAAATTACACAAATTCGGTTGGAAAATTTTATCACACGCACCGTATTCTCCAGACATTGCCCCCTCAGATTACCTCTGCTTCGTGCATTACAATACTTTTTACTGGGTAAAAAATTTGACAATATCGACTCTATAAGAAATAATATTAAAAATAGTTTAATGAAAAACCGAAGAGATTTTATGACTTTGCCAAAAAGAGGAGAAGTGTAAAACGAGTGAGGTATATTCTTCACAGCACTTAACTTATGGCACGAATTTGTTGGACGATCCAATATATTTAAAGTCCTACAGCAGAATTTACTTTAATTTCAATATTTTCTCACGTGATAATTATCAGTGAAAATTTCTGAAAAATCGGTGAACGACGATGTTTTTCGCAAACCGTGAACGGTTCCCCGCGTCGCGACTCTTAGCGTTGCTAAGTCGAGAGGAAGCCTCCGAGATTCGTGGGCAAACAGAGCGAGTTGTCGAGGCTGGAGGGTGAGAAACCCCAAACGGCAACACTTCGGCGGCAGTCAAGACCAGAGATGAGGTAGGTGGTGCAGCAACGGCGCGACAGCGGGGTGGTGGTTGCAGGGAATAAATTTTGTACTTGATCGCGAAGTCCCTTGCGCGGGTAGGGCGCGAGCCGGAGAGAAAGCTTCTATATTCTTGGTAGTTGCTGGTGTTCCTACTCAATTTGCATCAAACTATGGAGAGACAAGCAACCCCCGCCCATCTACAGCCTCCTCCGCAGAGCCACCGTTCTAGCACCTGATGGAGCTGTACGCCCACCCTCCCGCTTCGACGTTCTACAGTCGAGACTAACGCGTTTAGCAGAGACTCGAACCCCTAATCAGATCTTCCGCCTGGCACCGGGGTTTCTAAGGTGCTGCTAAGTGTGAAGTTAATGGAGTCAAGACGTTGCTCCTTCCTGCAGAGACGTTTGCCCGGTATAGCGTCAGGCAGGCTTGTCTGTTTAAGAAGTAACAAAAATTTTGCGCCCTGAAGAAGTTGTATAGAACAGAATTGCGATTTTCTGGGATGTATAAAGTGGTTCAAAAGGGTAGATACACATTGTGCAGGCTTATAGAGAGGAACAAAGGAGCCTAAAGAAACCTTAGCGAACGTACACACACTATCGATTATTATTGATAAATATTATCAAATAATATCGCATGAAAAAGTTTCAAAACACTTATCGATTTGCACTAATATTGAATCTGATACAAATTTTGTATACATTCGTAATTAATTTTGCAGAGACCAGTAGCAATTTTAAAAAAAATTTATCAAAAGCTTCTTCTATTTCTAACTATTTCTGACAATCCTTCGCAGCTTGCAATGCATAGTGGTCTGAATTTGTTTCGCGGTAGTGCACATTCAAAAATTAATCATTTCAGAGATAACGATCTCGTAGAATTTGTACCTACGATTTTGAAACACCCAAACTAGTTTTCAATTTTCCACAGAACATTTTCACATCGTAGACAGGGAGATTCGTAAAATTGTTCGACGGCTCGTCCTATCTCCGGTGACGCCGGCTGATA